TTCAACGGTGGATAGCGCTACGAAAAGCCGAGCGGCAGATCCCAATCTATGCATGCACTCAAAACAGCCTCGCAATTGGGACGCTTGATTGCTTGACCGACTCTTATTTACACTGATTCAACAACGTAATTAGGCGTCTGGCAAACCGGCCTATAAGCTTCAGATCCCGCGTTATCAATGCTCGAGCCTACTGTAGAACTGACCAGGAACTGACTCGCGGATAACAACGCTATGGACAACCCAATCCTGTACCAGAAGGTAAAACACCGATGTTGCTATTAAGGTTTAAGGAACTTTTGGAATCATGTATTGATTAAAGGTCAGTCAAGCCTCGTATTCCAACAAGTCAGACCCATTGATTAAAGGTATAGTCATCAGGGTTAAATTTAGTATGCAGCCATTCTTTGGTGTTCCCCTGCCTGACCATACTATACGAGGACGTTATCGCGCATATGCTCACCGAGGCATAGACACCTGGGTTCCTGTAGACCTTGCAAAACAATGTGGCCTTGGCGTGTTGAGAGGGTTCTTGGTATCGAAGATGACTATAAATAAGAGTCTGTCTCGTCGCTCTTATCGAAACCTCTGTCCTCATAACACTCATTCATCGCCTGCTCTATCACCTCACTTTCGCATCAAACATCAAAGCGAACTTGCACTCATCGCAGCTTTTCAACTTTTCGAAAAATGCATCCTCAGACCCTCTTCAACGCCCTGGTTGCTCTTGCTGCCACTGGCATGGCCGCTCCTTCTGAGGCCCTCAATAATCTCCACGCTCGAGCTGTAGTCAACCACGACTCTCTTAACCCTGTCAAAAAGACAATCGAAGGAGGGGCGATCGGTGCCGCTATCGACAGGTGGCAGCCTCTTCTTCACATTGCCGACGGTTGTCAGCCGTACACTGCTGTTGACACGAACGGTAACGTCAAGTACGTAATCAGATCAGTGTTCACATCAAATACGTCCTATAGCTAACCTTTTGTATAGTGGCGGGCTCCAGGATAGCGGTAGCAAGACTGGGGGCTGCAAAGATACCAGTAAAGGCCAGACATATGCTCGTGCCGCCATGCATAATGGCAAGCTTGCCATCATGTACGCTTGGTACTGGCCCAAGGACCAGCCTGCTGATGGCAATCTTGTCAGCGGCCATCGCCACGACTGGGAAAACGTTGTTGTCTTCATAGACAACTATCAATCTCCAGGGGCTACCCTCTATGCTGCTGCTGCCTCTGGTCATGGCGACTACAAGAAGACTAAGAACCCTCAGCGAAGTGGCAATAATGTCATGGCTGAGTACTTCACCAGCTTTGGCAAGAACCACGAACTGCAGTTCAAGACTAGTCCCGGACGCACCTATTGGATCTATGACTGGGCCGCTATGACTACCGCTGCCCGCCAGGGTCTGATCACTGGCCCATCTGGCGATCCTAAGAAGCCTTGGGGCAGCGCCAATGTCCCTTTCATCGACGCAAACTTCGGCAACAACCTCAATAAGGCATGGTCCTGAAAAGACTAATGTGCAATGAACTTGTCTTGTTACTCAGAAGGATATATCCACACACGAAGCAGCATTTAAGAAGGCGGTGAACAGTGAAACAGGACGGAAGAGTGAACAGGGAAAGGGTAAGGAGGAACGGTATAACTTGGGGAGGGAAATGCGAAATGCACAGAATGTTGTGTTGAGGCATCTAGCTGGGGAGGAGGAGAGAGATGGAGTAAATATTGCCTATAGCGACGACACACTTCTTTGCCTACCTCCTGGTTGTAATTAATTACATGCGATCTACTTGCGTCTTAACGACAAACCAGCGAACCCTATGTCTTTGTGAAACAGCTAAGATAAACTACTAGCTATTGTTAATAATACTACAGCTTAGTTAAGGTTTTTAGAATTATAGATTACTAACATAATAATGGTTAGCAAAGGGAATACTTAGCAAAAAGTCTCAAACTCCTATTGGCCTCTGGACATATTTAGCCTGGCGGTAACGTAGCAATCTTGGGGTAACGTAGCAGATTACATAAACATCAGTTGCGGGGATAAGGTCAGATCAGCGTCGCCGCACATATACTACTAGGCATGACCTTTTATTCGAAGGAAACAATTGAGTTAATAGCCATACAATGATCGCACTGCCATTCCTTTTTGGCGTAGCTGCGGCCGCTATCTATGACAAACCTCTGGCCACTGTCCCAGGACAACAGGATGCAATCCCCAACTGGGACTTTCAACAATTGCACAAAATCTCCAAGGACACTGCAGCCCTTTCCCAGCCAGGCGTCGACACTTCGTCCTGGCATCATGCGCCTGTATCCCGATGCACTTTGATGGCCTGTCTCTTGGCCGAAGGCACCTATGTCACAGATGGTCCTGATGGGCTCTGGTACTCTGATAACCTTGACCATTTTGACCAGAGCCCATTCTCTGCTCCCTGGGTGTATCGGAGCCAATTCAGATTGTCAGCTGGGCACATATCATCACAGCGCCATTATTTTCTTCAAACCAACGGAATCACCCCTGCTGCAGACTTGTTCCTCAATGGCAAGCAGATCGCCGACAACATCACCCAGTCAGGTTCCTATGGCGGCCATACGTATGACATCACACCTCTTGCGCGAGAGAAAAATGCACTTGTAGTCAAGGTATATCCTACAAACTATCAAGACCATTTGGCCGTCGGATTTGTCGATTGGAACCCTTATCCGCCTGATAATGGCACTGGAGTGTGGAGAGAAATCACTATCAAACAGACAGGCGACGTCTTTATGGGTCCAGTAAGCGTGCTAGTTGACATGGATACACACACGAAGCAGAACAAAGACCACCATGCGGACGTCACGGTCAGGGCTCATGCACGAAACCTGAGCAAAAAGCCAGTAACGTTTATCGCCAGAGCCGAGATCAGAACTCCAGACGGCAAACACCTTAAGGTGCTTACTAAATCTATTCGCCTCGGGGCTAAGGACTCAACAATGGTTGAGCTTCCTGCAAAGATCCAGGATCCACAAGTTTGGTGGCCATCAACCTGGGGTAAACAGCCATTGTACTCGGTCCAGCTGACCTACTCTATCGGCGGGTATGACACTTCGGATATCAGTCCTCGTACCAATTTTGGCATTCGGACTGTCTCTTCTGAGCTGAATGCGCACAATGACACTTTGTTCAAGGTGAACGGCCATCCAATCCAGATCAGAGGCGGCGGCTATACATCCGACATGTTTCTACGGTGGGACTCCCAACGTTTTGAGCATATAGCGCGCTATGTCCTGGACATGGGTATGAATGCTATCCGCCTCGAAGGCAAGATGGAGCATCCAGAACTCTACGACATTGCTGACAGACACGGTATTATGATTATCGCCGGCTGGGAGTGTTGCGATCGGTGGGAGGCTTGGCCCTACAACGACGACATTTCTCAGGACCCTCCCCAAAAATGGTCCGAGGTTGATTACGAGACCGCCAACGCTTCCATAAGGCACGAGGCGGCCATGATGCAAACTCACCCTAGTATGATCGCCTTCTTAGTGGGAAGCGACTTTTGGCCTGATGACCGAGCCACGGCGATATACCTTGATGGCTTACATAACGCTGGATGGCAAGTCCCCGTCATATCCTCAGCTGCGAAGCGTGGTTATCCAAAGGCCCTTGGCCCCTCCGGAATGAAGATGGAAGGGCCCTATGATTGGGTCCCGCCCGTCTATTGGTTCGACAGAGAGCCAACAGACAACAGGTCTGGATCCTCTTTTGGATTCGGAAGCGAGTTAGGCGCTGGCGTGGGAACGCCTACTAAAGGAAGTCTCACCAGGTTTCTGACGGACAAAGACATGGAGGACTTATGGAAAAAGCCAAACAAGGGCCTTTATCACATGTCGCAGAATACCTCACAGTTCTATGATCGGTCTATTTACAACAAGGCGCTGTTTGCTCGGTATGGCAAGCCTACATCTCTAGACGACTACCTGATTAAAGCACAGATGATGGACTATGAAGCGACACGTTCTGAGTTCGAGGGTTGGGCAAGCCAATGGAGCGCTTCACGTCCGGCCACTGGTCTGATTTACTGGATGCTCAATAACGCCTGGCCGAGCCTCCATTGGAACCAATTTGACTATTATCTCCACCCTGCTGGATCGTATTTCGGCACCAAGATTGCCAATCGAGTTGAACATGTAGCCTTCGATTACTTCAAGAGCTTTATCTGGATCATCAATCAGTCCCTTGAGCAATCCGGTCCGCGCTCAGTTCATGTCGACTTGGTGGATTTGCAGGGGAACCATATCTCTCATCAGAAGCTTCACTTCACCACAGAGCCCAATAAATCTCAAATGGTTGGTGACATAAGCAGCTCCATCAAGAAGATTACAAATGTCGGCGTGCTTCGCCTGCTCCTGGTTGACAGCGGTAGCGAGAAGGTACTCAGCCGCAATACCTACTGGCTATCCAAGCAGAAGGATATAGTTGACTGGACCACCACGTCGTGGTATTCTGTCGACGTTAAGCAGTCCGCCAACTTCACTGCACTGAACACGATGGAACAAGCGACCATCACAGCGTCGGCCTCCAAGAACAAGACTTCTGGGGGTTGGAGGCTTCGAGTTGAAAATAGCGCCACAGTCCCCGCGGTGTTCATCCAGCTCAACCTGGTAGATAAGCGCGGCAACGATGTGACTCCGTTAACCTGGTCGGACAACTATTTCAGTCTACTTCCGCGTGAGTCAATTGAAGTTGAACTCACCGACTGGTCGGGCAAAGGTGCTATGGTACAAGTCTATGGCAAGAATGTGAAAAAGTCTTGCATTAAACTGGGCTGAGTGATAACTAACACATATAGCAAGGTGTCTAAGAATTTTTAGATGCTTTTTGATTAGTTACACTCAGTATACTCTATTTATATAACCGAATAGTAATTATCTAAGTAGGAGTTTAAATTGTAAATACCACGAGAACTTTCCTATATCTGTATTTCAAGTCTAGACACTGATAGAATACAAGACATATCTTAGTTAGAACCGCTCGCACGATGAACCCATTCTTCATAACGTTCAATGTATGCCTCCTTGACAGTAGATGCCCACCACCACTGCGCCTCACTCTTAGAGCATCCGACAAACTGCATAAGGAATTTCTTTTTCCCATACCCCTCATCCTTCTTCACATCCTTTTCTTTAATAATCCGCAGGAGATGGACAACGTCTGAAGGCAGCTCCACGGTGTTCTGACGGCCTCTGTGCTTCTGCCAGTATGACAACAATTTCTGCTCATTCTTCAGGTGGATGTCGCGCTCAGCGAACCAATGAACCAGAGTATGGCGGGAGTCGGGCTTCTTGAACTGGACCCTGAGGAGGACATACGGGCCTTGATTATTGGGCTCTACCGTGATGATCTCAACGTCGTCCCGTGTTTCCGTTTTGTGGTCTATGATTTTCCATTCGACCCCATCCTCTAGAACTGATTGTGTTAAACGAAGTTAGAAGAAGGCTTATAGCAGATTGTAACTTACTAGAAGTGTGGGAGACATCCCGAATCTTCTGCGTGATCGTTTGCGAGACTATTGCAGACTCACCAGTATCGTTGTTTGGCATGGCTTCGAGTTGCCCCTGGCATACAAAAGGAATGACAACAAGTTGTCGCAAGACAGTAGATGAATTGAAAATAGAATGTTGAGAGATCAGATGAAAGGGGCTGGGGAGAGGCTTCATTTATGTCTTTTTTGCTCCATCTCGCAGCACAACTAATGCATGGATATGCGATGCTTGGAGCAGCTAGGCGCAGGGAATGCCTACTAGGATAACTGTACCTGCCCGGCGGTGAGATACCAGCATAGATAAGACTGCAGTGACCTGGAGCATCATGCACGGCGATCGCTTATAGAAGGTGTTACACACAGGCTTTCAAGCGCTGATTTTTATAGGGTTTGGTCTGCTGCTACAAATCACAGAGTCAGGTAAGCGACATATACTAGGGTCGGAATTAGATGGTGACATAAGCTTGAGAACATGTCGGGCTTTTGTCTGATATTGGCAACGAGCAACTCTTTGCAGTTCAATAATCGGGAGCCACCTAGCAAAGTCTTTTCAAGACTCGAGTAACTGGTGCGTGCCTTATTTGTCGTTCCCAACATGAAGAATGAGGCGATCGCAACTCACCTGCCATTCACGCCGCGATGAATGGGTATGCGAAGCTTGCAGTCATGAACCATCAACTCGTATGTCTCGGATCGAAGATTGAGAGCAGCACTGGACACACAGCAACCACTGAAAGTGAGTTCAACAAATACATTAAGGCTGCACCTCAAAGGAAAGCAGCAATCCAGCATGCTTTGCCTGCCTTCCCTACGTCCTTCTTAACAAGATATGCAGGGCTGCTTGAGAATAGGCGTAATTGAGAGTACTACCAAGCTAAATTGCTAACAGTGTATGACAAAGCTATGTATTTGTTGAAAACGCCACATTCGTGTTGTTGATAAAGGCACAAACGAGTCAAAAATGTGGCTTGCACTAATCACGTCACCACAAGATAAACCCCTCAAGATAAACGGAGAAGGATTTACATTCTGTCCTCTCGGCAACAAAAGATTAGGAAACAAAATGCTAGAAAATTAACTACGAGAATTAATTAAGCGGTTTAGAAAAAGCAAAAGCACTTCTTCGATGAATCATCCCTAGATCATGCTGTCTCACCTCAATTTTCGTATCTTTTTAGATCCCTGCCAATCGTGTTGTGCTGTAGTGCAGCCACCTTAATTCTTAGCGCTTAAAAAACACCCAACAGGCCCCTGTCGCTCTGGAAACCCGAGAACCTTATCGTGTTGGTTCCTTCTCCTTGCATACACGATGACGAGCATTTGTTGTTGGGCCAATTCTCGACAGATGCAGCTGCTCATATGCGGAAATATGTAGGTTATAATAATAGCTTGAAGTGAATTCGTCTTAGTTCATTCGTGACTTTTTATCTTCTCTTATTATTTTTATTTCTTTTATTCTTTGACGCAGATATTCACAATGCGCATTCTCGCCGTACTGGCTTCTTTATGCCATCTTACCTCCGCACTATCGATCCCCGTTTACCCGAAGAAGAGGGAGGTTTCAGCTGGCGTTGCTATTTATAGTTGTACCCAGCCAAACACCATTGCTCTCACTTTCGACGATGGCCCATTCGTGTACACAGATTCTGTCCTCGATCAGCTTGCTTCAGCTGGAATGCCGGCCACGTTCTTCCTCAATGGTTACAACATCGGGAATATCATGGACTACCAAGCCACAGTTAACAGGATGATCGGAGAAGGACACCAGGTTGCGTCGCATACGTACGTATAAAACATCAACTCTTCAAATTGTGGTCGCTGACGTTATGTAGCTACGGCCATCCAGATCTCGAAGGACTTGGAGATTTCGACGTCGAGCAGCAAATGTCGCTCCTGAGCACTGAGTTCATCAACATCATCGGCAAGTATCCTGTTTACATGCGTCCTCCCTATTTTAGCTTCACCTCTCGAACTCTCGGAGTCCTTGGTCAATTGGGCTTCAAGGTTATTATTGCTGATATCGACACCAACGATTGGCGGTACTCGTCGTCTGGTGGTGCTGAACCCTCTTTAGCTTCATACTACGCTGGGCTTGACAATGGTGGTTCCATTGTTCTTATGCACGACGTTCATCAGAATACTGTTCAGAATATCCTGCCTCGAATTATTAAGGCAACTCTCCAAAGTGGAAAGAGAGGTAGGTTGAAGTATTGTTCCGATATGTGTCTGGCTAATGCTTATCTAGCTGTGACCGTGGGGGAATGTCTTGGAGATCCCGAGACAAACTGGTACCGAGGTGGAGCAACCCAAACACCAGAATGGAATGGCACCGACACTCAGGTCATTCCAGTCAGTCAGACGCCAGCACCCGAGAGAGCAGTTGTATGGGAGTAACTTCGTTTTGAGTCTTTGAGGGGATTATCATACACTTATAACAAAAGACGCAAGTCGTGACACTCATTTCAATTTAAATATTATCTCTCTTCTACTCACAGTCCCAACTTCCCATTAGCCATCTCACGCACCTCCTTTTGACCCTGTGTCAACCCCTCTTCTTCCGTATCAAGCCTTTCGAGACCCATCGCCTGAAGACCCGCCTTGGTAAGAATGTTCTCAACCCTGGCTCCGCAATCCTCATGGTCGTATTCCCTCTCCCATGTGCCATGCGATCGCGTAAAGTCAATCGGCACATCTCCTTTCTGAAATGCATCACGAGTCGTCAGGAGAGACTCAATATTATAGGGTGTCAGCGGATTGCACGCGTTGTATGACACGCTTGAATCGACGAGCCCGGGGTTCGTGGGATCCACGCCATGGACCAAATCACAGTGCCAGAAGACATAATCACCGGGTCGGACAGGGGGAATACCGACGATGGCTCGCTTGATGTCGAGATCAGGATGGCCCTCAACAGTTGGGAAGAACTGGGTTTGGCCTGGAGTGGCGCCTGGGAACGTGGGTAGAGAATCGTTGTACTCTCCAGTATGGAACAGCGGTCTCAGCATGATGTAGGCCATAGACAACTTCAGACTGGGGAGTACTCGTAGTGTCCCTTCACCAGTCTGTGTGTTTGAAAGGGACAGCCATCCTTGAAGACTTCTCCATACCGAGCAAGCTGTACCTGTATGATAAAGATCACTTTGGGCTGTGACACGGTGATCCGCAGACCACGCATCCCAGTCTTGCCAGTTACCCTCAAAAATGGCCGCGTAGTTCTTTCGGTTCTCATCATCCTCCCATCTTTCGATCGCCCCACTGTCCATGTGAGGGTCCAAAGGAAATTGTCCGGGATCATTGCTGGGATAACGGATGCGAATTCGATCAGGGTAGATAACCTGACTGTCGAGGTCAATGGGGATTGTTGGATCAGATACGTGCCATAACCTGGAGACACATCTCATGGCTTCCAAGACTCTGGGATGCGTTCGCATTTCCATCTGTGCTTTGGTCCAGAACACGTTCCAGGCTGCAGGTTTGTGGTGGGGATGACCGCCTACGCCCGGATGACGTTTGGTGTAGTCCTTCAGCGACGTCTCCCAACTGACCGCTTGCTCTTCACTGACAACGTTTCGAAGGATTATGCAGCCTCGTTCATGCACCAGCTTGGTGAAGTCATCGGGAAGTTTGCCGCCTACAGCAAGTTAGAAAGGAATTATTCGAGAGCATATGAACCCTTTTGTTTGGAAACCGCATACCGTTCTTTCGGACGTCGTCGAAGTCAATCTCTGGAACCAGGGCAGCTCCATGCTTGTCGATGTGATCGACTTCCTTACGCAGAATCTTGACCAGGCGCTCATACGACTCTATCACCTTCTGTTTATTCTCAGGCTTGACGAGTGACTTTTTCAGAGCAGCAAATCTCTGGTCCAGCAGGTTGTAGCTACTTGTCTCTGTTAGTAGAGTGACTCAAACTTGATCACATGCCAAAGCAGCGGTAGACTTACTCCAGCAAAAGCTGCTGCGATAGCTCTAACTGCTCTGTTTCGGTATAAGACATTTTTCTCAAAGGCTATAAATGCCGGAGTGAAACTGATGGTTTATTGCTTAAGAAGGTGAAATAACTTGTTGAAATCAAAATGCGCGATGCAGATAGGCAGCGATATGGCTTGATGGGACTTGGTTTATAAACACAAACTGGTGATGACAGATACGGAACTTCAATCGGCTGTCATTCCTCTCCACCGGTGTGTAGATGGATTACAGAGGCTTCCGAGGTTAGTTTTCTGTTCTCAGCCACCGTCGGTTTTAGCTGGAGAATCTCCTGGCCTAAGTGAATTAACCGATCGCACAATCGTCGAACCATGGCCTGGTCCACTGACTAATCAGATCGGCTTGGCGCGATGTATTTTTTCAATTAAGCGACAAAGCAGTTGAAATTGCCGATCGGCTTGACGAACTTACCCGATATCGCTTGTATCACTATAGTCATTTAGATGGATAGGGAATTCTATTCATACTGAGCCAGAGCGGACTGAACAAACCCAAATTATGATAATGTCTATTAATGCGCTCGAGATTCGACCTCACTCACACCAATCCAAATCATTCCGCCTTACCACCTGCTTCAAATCAAATCTCATTGATTTCTCATTATGACTGCTCAAACTTTTGAAGTCAAAAAGCCCGAAACATGGCATTTAGCAGCGACGATTAACGATGAGTTACAAGAAGTCAGTCAGCAGTATGCATGGTAGCTATTGATCCTCAAAAGTACTCACCAGGATTGTACAGATGATAAATAATGGAGTAAAGGGGAGGTTCACGGGCGATACGGAGCATCTTACTCTAGAGCAAACGCGAACCAAGTTTGACAGTCTCTTCCAGCAAGACGCTGATCTTCTTCGTTCGCAGATGCAAAATGAATTGTCTGAAGAAGAGATTAATATTCCCGTCAGGGATGGATTCAAAGTCAGGGCGCTCGTTTATCGTCGCAAGACTGACCAGTCGAAGGCAGACCGGCCTCTTGTAATTCTCATTCATGGTGGAGGCTTTATCCTGGGTAACGCTGAGATGGAGATGCCAACCTGTGTTGAAGCAGTCCGGAGATATGATTGCGTCGCGGTGAGCTTGGAGTATCGGCTGTCTCCAGAAGTCAAGTTTCCTGTTGCATATGACGATTGCTGGGACGCTCTCATATGGGTAGGTCAATTGTTCCATGAATGATTCTTTGACTAAATCAAAACTTCAACAGCTGTCCAAGAACGCGACCACTCTTCAGGCCGATCCAACGCGTGGCTTTGTCTTTGGCGGGACTTCGGCTGGTTCACATCTCAGCATCCCCTTGGCGCACAAGGCTCGGGACGAAAAGCTCTCGCCTCCACTCACTGGGCTTTATCATTGCGTTCCTCCTGCTCTGATGCCACAAGCCCTTACTGACAAGTATAAACCCCTCTACAACAGTAGAGAGCAGCTGAAGAATGGTATGGCGCTCACTGCAGAGTCTACAAAGGTTTATGACAAAGCCGTTGAGCCAGACTTTGCTTCGCCACTTTGGAACCCTCTTCTTTGGCCAACTGGGCATAGAGGCTTACCCCCCACGTTCTTCCAGATCTGTGGGGCTGACCTGTTGAGGGATGAGGCACTGATTTATGAGAGGGAACTTAGAGTCGAGAGTGGGGTTCAGACTAAGACGGTTGTTTATGAGGGGCTACCGCATGTTTTTTGGTATGACTATCCGGCTCATAGTGCAAGCGCCAGGTTTGCTAAGGACGCAGCTGATGGTTTGGGATGGCTACTTGGTCAGGAGAAGTAGTTTCTTGAGACCCTGCTATGTATCATGTTTATCCAAGAATTTCTTACTTTGATTTATACATAATGTGAAGTTGACGAACGGACTGTATCTAAAGAAAGATGAGAAAGAGATGTACTCAGACACCGCCAAGATCTGTGGCTCAGAGCTTACAACCACTCAGTGGAACTTGGATAACTTCAACTTTATCATCAAATGCAAGAACCTATTTGCGGTATGCTGTCGAAGACATCAAAGCAAAAAGTGCGGCTATACACTCGGAGTTACGGCGTTTAGTAGTACGTTACTATTTGGACTGCCGCCGTGATACTGACTCTGCACTGTATCATCTGTGAAAGCAGTTGGAATGTAGGTGATGTCGGTCAATTTGGTGACATCATTTAGATGAATGATGCTAAAGCTATGGTAGTTGGTTTTGTTGGCTGTTGAATGCGTCAACGGAGCCAGCGACATTGCAGTACATGCTCTAACGTCCCCCACCCAAAGACCGGCCACCCCCACAGACTGGCCACCTCGGCCAAAACACTAAAAACCCGATATTATAATTAATTAATTAATTATTATAACACCATATTTTTTATATTAAATAAAACTTCAGTTAGTAAATATTTAAATAGAAATTAGTACAAAGATCCTTAAGTTTTAATTTCTTAACCCTATTAGCTATTCTTTCTAGTTATAAAGTCTTCTATATCTATTCACGAGCTTTCTTTATTGCTAGAATCTTTACAAACTCCGCATTTAGGTTATAGACAACCTTTTTACGCCATTTTAGTCAATTTTCTTCATTTTCCCGCTATAGAACACTTATTTCTCTATTCTGTCGCTTAATATTAAAGTTATAACAGTCTAATTAACTGCCAATCTTCCTAAAAAGCAGCCTGACGGTTAGATCTTACGTTATAGAAGCTAGGACTTGGCCTAGAGCTTGCCGAAGCTATATAGATAAACGGAAAGTCTTTAGGAGACTTAAATCCTGCTCTTTTGGCGGTAAATTTGCTGTAACAGCAGGAGAAGGTGTCTCTATAACTATCAGGTTTATTAAGACCTTTGCCAGATTTACAGGCCACAGTCTAGTAGCTTTAAAGCCGGCAATTGCATTAGACTTTATAATAGCTTCTCTCTAAGCCTTATCATAAGTGTATAGAAATATAATCTTATTGATATAACTGTCATTAGAGATAGAAGTAAAATCTAAAAGAAGATAACGATATGCCCTCTTTAGAGGATTAAAAACTGCAATATCTAGTGGCTAAAGGACATAAGAAATATAAGCAGGAAGAAATAATAGATATATATTATTATTATAATATTTCTAAAAGAACTTTTCTATAATATAACTTTTATAGCCGTTAAGAATAAAAAGTCAGGGTTTATTTTTCTTTTTGGGCTGTATTAATAGAATAAAGACTTTTCTTAACTAAACTAATGCCAATTTATTGCTTATCTATCTCTTATTACTGCAGGCAAATTTCTAGTTTTCTAGGAAGTCTAAATCCTTAGGGAAATATTGTTATTAGACTGTTTTCTCCTTAAAAATAACTGTAGGTTTTAAGACCTTTCCAGTTACTAAGATATACTTAAGAATTGTAATCTAGGCATAAGAACCAGGCTGACGAATAAGTACTGACTTCTTTAACTAATA